TGGAATATATACACCATTTTTGGGTTATACGAAAAAAAGGGACGATCATGATGGTTCTTTCAAAAAATAGATAACTTGTTAGCACTCCATCTAATGACATAACCGATTCGTTTTATGCCTGCTATATAGTAGTCATGTTCATCATTCTTCAACTCATCGACTTTTAATTGAAGATAAACATTCGTGAAAAAAAAATCTCTAGCTAACTTCCTTGTCTGCTAGGGTCATACATCCACTTTCAAGATTCGTGAATTTCAAAAAAAAAAAGTGCAAACAGTTTTCGAAGAATTGATAACCCTAGCCTATGTTCTAATGCATTAGGGTGTTGTTCTGCACGCACTGTATATGAATACGTTAATTGAAATAGGAAAACCAAATAACCAGCCATGCCTACTAACCAAACAAAATTTTGTAAGCATTATGTGGCAACTTGACAATGGATTTGGTTGATAAATCAGTAGAAGATGATTCAGCTATGAGTTTTTTTTTTTTTTTTTTTTCTGGTAGGCCTTCACCATCAAAGACACTGATAGTTTGCCTAACCAGAGATAACCTTATGACATTAGGGCAATGGTCCTAATAACTTATTCTACAAATTATGACAATCAAGCTCACCAAACACATGCATGTGGATCTCTCACTTTTGACCGTATAGGGAATTTGCCCTAAAAATTAAGGGGCTGCCATTAACAAACCCTTTTATTCTATACAAAAATGTAGGGCAGCAGGACTGAATTTGATTGGGCTCTGTCCCTCTGTAATGGTCCATATAATTGGTAACACTAGGTTGATTAACTATTATAATTAACTTTAACAGCTTCTTTAATTCACTTTCCCATTTTTAAACTTGCACGCTCCCAAAAGTTAATGATCTCTCAGTAGCAGGAAATCCATGGAAAAATCAATTAAAAATTACTTCAAAATACATGCCAATTTTAGAAAAAAGTATGAATATATTTTTACTTGAATTGAAGGGAATCGGTATCATCATGGCTGTCGGCTCAATCATCATGTACTAGTTGATGTAAATCGCATGATCTGATTGGTGCGACACTGTTACTCACAAATGGATGATCGTCACGAAAGTGATAGCAAAGATTGAAACAAAGGATTGTTGTCGTTCATCAAAGGTCCGTAATAATTTTTTTCCTTACCAATGAACCGTGATCGTAGGAACTGAAACATGTATCTGCCCTGTTACTCTATTTTAGTAATGAAATTTTATGTACAGTTCGATACATCATCGCTACAACACATATAAAAAATATACATGGAAAATATGCAAATGTGTTGAGTAAACGTGAAGTTGCTGCAGCAAGAGTCGCTTGTAATCCAAGAATTGAGATAGCAAGGGTTTGGAACTTGAGATACAAACAAACCAAGTCCTTCCAATCCACTAATCCTCCTAAAACCCTACTACTAAATCCTCAGAATCTAACTCCGGATAGTGGGTCGGGTCGGGTCCATCTATCCTCCCCAGTTACCGACTCCAATCCATTAAAATATATTAATCTCTCTTCAGGCAAGTGGGTCATTCAATCACCCAGCCAGAAAACCCTCGTGAAAACTTCCAGAAATGGGGCAAAAATGGGCCCTTCCCCTGTTTTTCCATACTTTTAGTTTTCACTCCTGTAATCATCTTTTGTCTGATTGCTTACCTCTAGTTGCTTCCTTTCAGTAAGCAAAGCAAAACCGGCGACAAAGGTCCCACCTTTGGTCGACCAGACTCCATTCTCTCCATTACCATTCCAGTCCAGCCCACTAGAGAGCTCCAAGCTAACCCACAAAACAGAGAGGAAAAAAAAGGATTCTTTCTAGCATTTTCCCTCTGTAATTTGTGTTTTTGCAGTAATATTATTCCATTTTCCCAAACCAAATGTCCTTTTCTTTTTGAACAGGCCACCCACCAAATATCTCTTTCCCATTTCGCTTTTCCTTTCTTTTCTGCTGGCTCCCTTTTCCCCCTTTCCCCTGTTTTTTCCCCCTGACCCACGGCTGGGCTTCGAGGGCAAGTAGAAAGAAAGAAATGAAGTGAAATGCGAGGGCTTATTAGTTAGTTAGCTGGCTGTACTTCAATCTCCACACACGTCTCCATTTAAATCTCCCTCTTGTGAACCATTTGGATCTTCCTCTTCATCCACCACCACACTTTCTTTCCCTCCCCGCACTGTACTTTCATGGCTGCCTTGCCCATTTCTATTGTAAAGCTCAGATCTTAAGTTGTTTCAGAGCTCTTCTGGAGGGAAAGGGGATATGGGTTCTCAGATTTTGGTTGTTCTGTTCTGTGTTCTAAGCTGCAGCTTTGTTTCAGTGTACTCGCAAGGCGGGAATAATAAGAATAATGACACTGCTAGTGTTCAAGGGACTGTGGTGGTGGATGGGGACACCACCATTGGAAGAACTGATGAAGATTTCATTTGTGCCACTTTGGATTGGTGGCCTCCTGAGAAATGCGACTATGGGACTTGCGCTTGGGGCCATGCTTCCCTTATCAACCTCGTATGTTCTTCTTCCTCTGCCTAATGTCATTGATGTTCTTCGATGTTGAATGTTTCCATGGTTTCTCTGCAAAGTTCCCAGCTTTGTTCTTTCTTTTCTTCACCCATTTCCTTATTTTTAAGTTGGAATCCTTGTTTGACATGTGACCAATGAGACAAGAGAGAGGTCAAAATAAACTTTTGACATGTGCTGTTGTTTGTGCATTTTGGTTGCAGGATCTCAGTAACCAAATTCTGTTGAAGGCAATACAAGGTATTAGCAAAACCAGAGTTTTGATTTATGGCAATAAGCTGAGAACTTTTTTTTTATTCCTTCTTTCTTGTTCTTTTGTTCTCACATTCAATTTTTATGGTGCAGCCTTTTCACCATTGAAGATCAGGTTGGGAGGGACGTTACAGGACAAGGTCATATACGACACACCAGACAACCACCAGCCTTGTGTTCAATTCGTCAAGAACACAAGTGAGCTTTTCACTTTCACTCAAGGCTGTTTGCCCATGTACAGATGGGATGAATTGAATGCCTTCTTCAGCAAATCAGGGTAATTAAGTCCAAAAGTGGCTCACTTTTTCCATTCCTTGGCATTGCAGAAAGGTTAAAATTTTCAAATGCTGAACACTTTTGTGATTTGTCTCCAGGGCTAAGATTATATTTGGACTGAATGCTCTAATGGGAAGGACCATTCAGCGTGATGGTTCTGCAGCTGGAGCTTGGAACTACTCAAATGCTCAATCTTTTATCACCTATACAGTCAGACATAACTACTCCATTCATGGTTGGGAGCTTGGTAAGAGCACAGCCTAACAAAAAAAGTTGAAATGTGCTGCTTCTAATTGTTGATCGATTCGCTGAGAGATGGCTTTTATGGTTTCGTGGCTGAGCAGGAAATGAGCTGAGTGGAAGTGGAGTGGGAACCAAAGTTGCAGCAGATCAGTATGCTTCTGATACGATCTCCCTGCATGACATTGTGGAGAATATTTACAGTGGGATTGAACCAAAGCCCTTGGTTCTGGCACCAGGTGGATTCTATGACGCCAATTGGTTCCGAACTTTGATCACAAAAGCAGGAAATTCAGTGGACGCCATCACCCACCACATTTACAATCTTGGTCCAGGTAATTGAATGACCCCTTCAGTCTCTTTCAATATCTGCTCTCCGAAAACAACCCTCCAGGAGAGTTGAGGTTTCGTGACACTTCATTTCTATATCCCAGGAGTCGATCCAAATCTCGTGGAGAAGATTCTAGACCCGAGTGTTCTTGACAATGTGCTTGGGTCGTTTAGAGGTCTGCAGAGCCTCCTCAGGAGCGCTGGCAGCTCAGCGACTGCATGGGTTGGCGAATCTGGTGGGGCTTACAACAGTGGCCGCAACCATGTCTCCAATGCGTTCGTGTATAGCTTTTGGTAAGTGACAGTACGACCATTCATATAGGATATGGCATCCATGTGTGAGCTCAGAATCTGGGGAGTTAATGCTGGTGTCATAACAGGTATCTGGATCAGCTTGCACTTGCGGCTTCACACGATACAAAAACTTACTGCAGACAGTCATTGATCGGTGGTAATTACGGCCTACTCAACACCACGACATTTGTGCCCAACCCTGACTATTACAGGTAGAACTGTCATGCCTTAAGGCTCGGGGTGTGCATGTTCGATGCACAGAGCAGAATTCGACTGAAATGGCTTAGCACTGGACAAAATTCATTGGCACACCCCTACTTGAAGCTCTCAAATATGGACTCTTTATTTCCTTGGATGATACTTAAATCTCTTTGTATTTCTCTATCTCTTCACTGCAGTGCTCTTCTTTGGCATCGGTTGATGGGACGAAATGCTTTGTCAACGAGCTTCTCTGGGTCGAACAAGCTACGTGTATATGCTCACTGCTCGAAGTATTCTGTAAGTATTATTCCACTTCCATCGTTATGACATTCAAATAATAAATCTTCATTCTGATATAGAATGCACTATGCTCTGCAGAAACGGTTTACACTGCTGCTGATCAACCTGGACAAAAGCACAACATTTGAAGTCAATGTAGGTGTCAATAGAACCTTGACACAGCAGGGACTTAACAACCGCAAGTGGCCCAAGCATAACAGGTCATACAGTATCATTCGACTTCCTCGTCATTCGAAGATTGGAACAATGATGAGAGAGGAGTACCATCTAACAGCAAAAGATGGGGACTTGCACAGCCAAACAATGCTACTGAATGGGAAGATTTTAAGTGTAGATTCGAATGGGGACATACCTTCCTTCGAGCCTTCCCTTGTAAATTCTTCGGAGCTGATATCAGTAGCTCCTCTTTCGATTGTGTTTGCTCGTATTCCATATATTCTTCCTGCTTGCAGGTAGGTAGCTAGTAGCATTGGGGAACTGGAAATTTGGTTCCACTAGAGTGATTGATTAAGAAAATTATAAGAGATAGGATAAAGCATCTGTTTTCTTTACATTCATTTTCAGTGCAGTGAAAATATAATGGAAAGTTCTTTGACAAAATCTGAAGGTCTGTGGCAATGCAGATTTTCAATAGAATGTACAAATGATACAACATTGAGATGCAAAGATATGGTACTACATATTGGTTGCTGGCTGACAGAGCACTTGCTCAACCTTCAGGTGATCTAGCCAAAAAAAAGTGGCAGAGAAAAGACTGATACTATACCTATACTAAGTATACATGAGGAGACAATCAATGTCCTCAACTGGAGAAATTTTGTGGCTTACTACTGGCAAATACCAACCATACAATCGTGCCGGTCAAGTAGAAGAAGATGGATGGTGCAAATAACGATATCTGATTTATACAAACAAAACGAACAAAGATAAAGTTAGTGGAATGAAGAAGGGAAATTGTAGAACTAAATTCAGTCACATTTTGATACTTACAGTCCATGAATGAGTTGTATCTAGCAAGTAGCCAGTCAAGGCAACACCAACAATTCCAGGGACAGCTCCAGTAGTACTGGTTATACCCTGAGATTATGAAAACGGGCACAGATTGCGGCATGTAAAATAATCGAATGATTACTAAGACAATGTTTTATAACACCTAACCTATTTAAACTTAAGGGTCTAGGTTTATACCAGGAGTATGCTTGCGTATTCAGGGGAAATATCTTGGTGAGTACAATACAGTCCTACAGAAAAGAAAGAAACAACGTAAGAAGGACAAGTCAACTACTTGCTGGCTTTCTTTGGTCAAAGTTAAACAGCTTACCAGACAAGGCAAAGCTTGAGAGGGCCAAGCCAGCAGTGAGAATCCCCACAACTTCCCATGGGGGCAATCCTAAATCGACAGCGGAAGGGATCATACAAAGCGCAGGAGCCAGAAAACCAACTGTTTGACAAAACTTCCGTACCTGCAAAGGAATTGCATGGAAACTAAGTCATATATACTATGAGACCAGAGACTAGTAGCATTTCACGCTATACAAAGTAGTTACTGAGTTTTTGCTTTCGTCTGCATACCGTTGTGGTTTCAACTCCACTAGCAATCAACTTGTCCGCCAATTGTGCAGCGAGGTTAGTCACGAAAACTGAAGCCAAGGGAGGAAGAATTGACACCTGAAAATGTTTGACAAGATACATGTTCTTTTGTGAGAGACATGTGCATGAATGAAACCGATTATTTGCTGCTACAATATAATGGAATACAATAACGTGGGTCAATAAGTAGGCATCTGCAACATTGTTCTTGAAAGAATGACACAACAGTAAAAAGGAACTTACCCATGCAGCCTCAGTCAAGTTTAGGTTCAGTGCCTCGCTGCATGAAATTGGCAATAAGAATTTCAAGTTTCTAGGCCCAAGTGATCAACATACATAATCACCAATAGTAAACAAAAAAAAAGTACCTGAAATAAGTAGGGAGCCATGACAAACAGGTATAGTGGCCCCAACTCCCACAAAAGTGGGCATAAATCATAGCCCATACAGCTGGGCTCTTGAAAATTGCTCTCCATGGCACATCCTGATGTTTCAAAAATAACAGATAAAATAAAGAGGGAGACATGGGAGAAGAAGAGCTTGAAATAACAGTCTTAGTTAAGAAAAAGTGAACAAATTTGAAGCTCCGTCCAGATTATAAATTGATCTTCTATGTATTGGTAGAGCTGCCTCAAGACATTTTTATGGCATCACAACAATATACAAGAACATTCAACATACCTTCACCGACTCATCAAGCTCGGCTAGAGAAGATCCCTGTGATTTTTCCTCTTGGTGATTTGAAGAATCTGATTCATTATGAAAAAACGTTACATTCACCTGTAAGATGATCTCCAGGAATAATTCTCATTATTTCAAAAAAATATAGGATCAGCAGATTTCCCCAAAGTTTCTGTGCCTAGTGATACTTAAACATTGTCAGTAATACAAGTAGCACCAATCCCGTACATGCATAATAAAATGCTAACTGACAATGTTTACGAGCTCACTTGCAGCAGGTTCAGCATATGAAGCTTCTTGTTCGACCATAGTCTGAAATCCTACAAACCTATACAAGCACAACACTGACATCAGTGACACACAATTCGTCCTTAATCAGCTAGATTCCCAAAAAGAATTCTTAAATACGAAGGTGCACTTACCAGGCTATTCCAAATAGGCCAAATAAGTAAAATACAGATTCCCATCCATAATGCTGAATGAGTGCAGGTGCCAAAATTAGCCTGAAAGATTGTCAGACATAATTAAGTATTCAACTTCCACAGTTAGCAACGACTAGCAGGGTAAATTCAATTGACCACTAAATTACTTCAGTATAGCGAACTACAGACTGGTAGCAAAACATTTCCAACACATAATTCACACCTTTAATCACAAGAGAACTTAAACTTTAGTAAGAGTTGTACTTCATCTAGTAATACTTCTAGTTTAACTAAATCCATGTCAAAGAGGTTTTACCCTGCTACGCTTCCCACACTCAGTCCACCGAAAACGAATGCTACTGCCCGTGATCGTTCTTGTAGAGGTATCGACCTGCTCCAGTGAAACATAGATTAGGATCAGAATAAACCTTATTGTGATCTATAATTTTAAACCGGAGCGTGGTCCTAGTGAATTCCACATGAAACATGCCTGGCGATCAGGTCGGTTGCAGCTGATGGGGAAACACCTTCTCCTATACCAACCTGAATTACAGACATAAGAAAAAGAGATGGGTACACGAGAACCATACATAATCAACATGAAAAGGAAGGACACCAGAAGTGAAACAACAATTTCTCCAACACTGATTCGGTTGTGAAAGATCAATCTAAAAGTTTCCGTGCTAGAGAAATCAAGCAACTATACCAAATGCTAAAACTCAAATATAATAGTTCAGAAGAAATAGGGAACACACCAAAATCCTAGTGAAAACAAGTCCAGGCATGAATCCGGCAAGCAAAGGGACCAATGCTGTAGCAAATGACCAAGTCAACACTCCGATCTCAAGAACTTTTCTGTACAGGGAAAACAAATCATTCAGCTGAGCAAAACACAATGTCGCCAATGTTCCAATAATCTCAGAACGACAAGGCATTATTCGAAGTGCACAAAGTTCTAATGACCAGAGGTTGCACACTTCAACAAGATGACACCTTTACTTTCAGGGTTTAATTGAAGCCATCACGTTACAGTTTGAATAGGAGCACACTTCATAAGCCAGTCAACTTACAATGGGGACCATTAATTCCTCAAACCACATCATGTCTAAACATGAATGGATATCAGAGATCACAAATAAACAAGGAGCAAAGCAAGAGTTAGAAACTCAAAACTTCATATAACTTACCTGCCACCAAATCTCTTGGCAAGCCAACCTCCAGGCAACTGACTCAAAGCATATCCCCAAAAGAAGGAGGATTGCACTAACCCAGCCGTGGATGAATTCCAACCGAACTGGTTTGACATTGGAATTATAGCCACACTCAAATTAACCTGCTCAACAAGGTGAACCAATTAAAAACCAAAATCCACAGTTCAACTTAACCAAGAACTAGACATCATTCACCACACTTCAAACAAAAGCTAACCATCCCACCTTATCCATGTTGCAGATAACAAAGGCAAGTGAAGTAGTCCCAATAAGCTTATATCTCGCAGGAAGATTCTTCCACGGCGGCCAATTCCAATCAAACCCCACTCCACCTCCACCCTGTTCAGACTCACTGATTCGGACTCCATTAACACCCTGATGAGAAGGACCAACAGCAGGAACCTTGTCCCCATCCTTTTTCACACCCTCTTTCTCTCTGATACTACACGAGACTCGAAACCTGGGTCTCGCCAGAGACATCTGAAGGTGACGACCACCGGCTGAATTCTCCCGAAAGTTGGAGGCTTTCCTGACCGTGGTAGTAGTTTGAGGAAGGAAAGAGCAAAAGCTCTCAGCTTTGAGAGTAAATTTCGCCATTTTTGCTCCTCCCCAGCAGCTATCTTCTTTTTCTTTCCCTATTTCCCCTCTTGTTCCTCCTGGAAGACAGGTGTTGCTCTGGAGAGAACAACAGTGCGGAAAGGGTGGAGCCATTTTTCCGCGGCGGAGGCGGCTTTGCTTGGTGGTTTTTTGTGGCTCTGAGCGAATCGGAAGGTGATGCGTTGGAAATTTTTTGCTCCGTTTTGATTGGTTTAAAATCCGTTGCAAATTTCAATTTTTGCGGGACCAGGGGATGGATGCTCTATGGGCTTGTTTTCTAATTGGATTAAGCCCAACGTGGGCCTAGAAGTAGGCCTTTCTTTTGCTGTCAACTACAGAGGATCCAAGCCCAGTCAAGTTCTCCTCCACTATGCAATCACTATTCACCTTCATCAATCATCATTCCATCTCTGGATTCTTTCTGAGAATGTTGACACTCCTTCTTATAGGTCTGAAAACATAGCCCGACCCGATTAACCCGCCCGATCAACCCGACCCACAACCCGATCGCAACTCGAATTGACTAAAAGTCAACAACCCGTAACCCGCCTGATCCGCAACCCGATTGACCCGCAACCCGACTAACTCGCAACCCAATTAACTCGAACCCGATTGACCCGCAACCCGACTGACCCACAACCCGATTAACCCAAACCCGATTGACCCACAACCCGATTGACCCGCAACCCGATTAACCTGAACCCGATTGACCCGAACCCGACTAACCCGTAACCCGACCGACTCAACCCGAATTTCATCTAATCCACTTGAATAATTATAAAAATATACAATAAATAGTTTTTCAAAATAAAGTTTTTCATTCTAAACTTAAGTAAAATTATTTTTTCATTTCGTATAAGAAATTTTAAAAATATGAAACTCACTTGATATTACGTATTTTAAGAAAATTACAAAAATTGAAACATGAAGGTCACTTGAAATCATGACAATATTAATATAATATATAAATTAAAATTTTGGTTAATTTAACTATTCAATAAAATTATCAATTAAATATAAATAAAGTAAGTAATGTATTTAATAATTTGATTTTTTTAAAATAAGAGGGAAATTTGGGTGTATTCAAGTTTTTGGGAAGAGAAAGAAGAGGGAAATTTGGTTCTTTGAATTTTTTAGAAAAAAAACAAGTGGGAATTTTGGTGGTTTTGATATGTGGGAACGTTTGATTTTTTTGATTATGAAAGAGAAATAAGGAGGGAAACTTTTGACTTTTCAACTTTTTGTAGAAGGAAAGAAGAGGGTAATTTGGCTCTTTTAATTTTATGGAAGAGAAAGAGGAAGGAAAATTGAGTTTTTCTAATGTATGGAGGGAGAAAGAAAGAGGGAAATTTTAGTATTTTTGTGAAAAGAAAGAAGGAAACAAATTTGGTATTTTCAATTTTTTGGTTTTTCATAATTTTAGTTTTTGAAATATGAATCTTTAACTTTTATATGGAGGGCATGACTAGTTAAAATTATTCTTATATGCTTTGAAGGCTAATATGTATATATGTATGTAATTTTTTATGGGCTAGTAAATAAATTAACCATTAGCTACAACAATTTATACTAAACTTGATAAGTAATTTTTGACGGTTCGTTGGTTAGGATATAAAGTATATGGTTAGGGTATAAGGTATAAGGTACATATGGTTTAGGGTGTATATGGTTAGGGTATAAGATATTGATGGTTTTGACGGTTCTAAGTTTTTTATTAACATATGTTCACTTGAAGTCATTTGAAGTCTTTAACGGCAGGAGATCTCTTTTTAATTTATGTTTATGGTACGTGGTTAGGGTACAAGATATGTGATGTAAAGTATAAGATATATGGTTAGGGTATAACAATTAGCAAATATCACTTTTTATATATGTTTTGAAAATCAAAGTATGAATTTCGCTTTTAAATTAACTATACTAGCAAAATCACAACTCAATGACGTATGATTAGGGTATAGGTTATGTGGTTAGTGTATAATGTATTGATGGTTTAGGGTATACAATCAACAACATATACTAACTTAATATTGTTGATTGAGGGTAAAGCTAAGTGTATAGGATATATGCTATTGAGTAAGTTATGATTGAAGTCACAATAATTTTACTAAATTTGATAGCTAATCTTTAATGGTTCAATTTTTAGGATAATTCGAACAATTTTACTAATAACTCGTTTGGCAACAGTTTACTAAAGTTATTTGGGCAATGAGTTATTTTGAAATAACTCCTTTTATCACTATGCTTTTGCCAAATACCACACGCCAAATACCAGATTTGCATGGTTATACTAAACGAGATACTTTAATCAAATTACTACTGAATTAATACTAAAATATCAAATAAACAATTAACGGTGTCTTTTGGTTGCAAATATTGATATCACCATTACTATTAGCTATAATACTTTACCAATTATGATTAATTACATAACAAGTTTGCAAGTCATACAAATTGATTTAACATTTTGACTAGTTTTTTTCAAAAAAATAAAGTATATATATACGAGGTAGAAATAAATTTGTTAAAAAGTAGAGAAAATATTTTAAATTAGTGTAATAAAATGTGTAAGTTGGTAATGAGTAATGAGTTAAGTTACTTGATGTGCTAGCCCGAACAACCCGAAACTCGACCCGCCCAACCCAAAACCCGATGAATCCGCAACCCGATTTGCCCGCAACCCGATTGAATCCGAACCTGATGAACCCGCAACCCGACTAACCCGCAACCCGTTTGAACCCGAACCCGATGAACCCAAACCCAATGAACCCGCAACCCGACTAACCCGCAACCAGTTTGAACCCAACCCGAACCCGCCCGATTAGGGATGGCAATGGGTCGGGTTGGGGCGGGTTTTGCCAAACCCGAACCCAAACCCATGGGTTTGTCCGTCAAAAAAACCCGGGGTAAAACCCGCTGGGTTTGAAAAACTCAAACCCAACCCAACCCGCTGGGTATCCGCGGGTTGATGGGTTACCCGCGGGTTTTTTTGGTAAAATATTTATAAAATAATAATTAACAAGAAACTATTAAAAATAAAAATCAAGCATAAATCTCACCATACAAACTATCCATACATAAAACATCGTTCTAGAAAATTCAAGCAAATCGCACACTATCCATACAAATTGTTCAACTCCAATCTAAAAAATTCAAAGTCACAAATTATCAATACACAACATGATTAATTAAAGTTTCCTCCTCCTTGAGAACTTGAACATTGTCATCTTAGCTTCACTCACAGCTCCATAACTTCGACTTCATTCTACAGAATTAGATAGACCAAAATTAAAAATGTCTCCACAAACATAAGAAAGATGGATGTTTTAAAGAAAATAATTATAATATTAAATATACCGGTAACACATGAAGCACAATCTGGATCTAGGTCATCATTAACAGTGGCATAAGTCATGAGCTTATCAATTGTTTCCAAGCCATCTGCAAATAGGATAGCAAGTTAGCAAATAATGGTAACCAACAATATCATAACTCAAAACATGTATTAAAGTTCATATGTGAAATCAAACAATCAAAGGTTATCAAGCTACCTGGAATGGTTGAATTGAGCAACCAGTTTTGAGCACACATTAGAACCTCAACAGTTTCCGGGAGAAGTCTACTGCGACTAGGGCTAACTAGTCTTCCACCGGCACTAAAAGCAGACTCAGAAGCCACAGTAGTCACTGGAATGGCAAGTATGTCTTAGCAATCAATGCTAAAGTCGGATACTTTGACTCATTTGCCTTCCACCACAATAAAATGTCAGATCCAGCTGTCTTGGGCAAGACTTTCTCCTTGAGGTAGCCATCCAACTCAGTTTCAACATCTACAAAGCTAGTAGTCAACGATGCTACATACCTATCATATGCTGTCATTCTTCCTCCACCTTGACTAATCGAACTCCCATCATGAGACGGATTTCCTTCTTGACTCCCATCCACATTTAACTTCTTATAATCCTTCTCCAATTCAACCAACAATTGTCGAACACTCTCAATACATGCCCTTGATTCAACGCCATAGATATCTGGAAAATAACACTCCAACAAGGTAAACTTATACCTTGGATCAAATACAGCAGCAATAGCTAAAACATCATGAATAGTACTCCAATACTTCTCAAATTTTGTCATCATGCTTTTGGCCATATCTCTAATGAAAGCATCATCATCCAACATCCAATTAGAGATGCCCACCTTTATGTCGCACACCTTTTCAAAGAACAAATTCGAAGTTGGGTATTTAGCCCCTGAAAACAACTCAGTCACATCATAAAACAACTCCAACTTGTCACAAACCTTCCTTGCAAACTCCCAATCAGACTCACTAGGTAAAGTCTTGTAATCCTTATCCATTTGCTTCAGACGAGGAAATACAATCTTATACTTCAAAGCAGAATGAAGCATCAAAAAGGTAGAGTTCCACCTAGTTGGGCAATCCAAGGACAAACTTTTACCATAAGAAATTTTCAATTGTTTTGCAACTATTTCAAATTTCTCTTTCCTTTTAGGAGTTGCTGTCCAGAATTGCACACTATCACGGATGCGCTCTACACTTCGCTTTATCACATCCAATCCATCCTTGAGTGACAGTTTCAACTTCCCAACATCATAGAAAAATATATGCAACACATCCAAAATACCAAATCTCATATCTAATAGCACATAAAAACAACAATGGTGAGTCAAAAACAACAATAGTGAATTGAGTGACAGTGTTAGTGAAGGTGATAATGATAAGAGAAGAGAAGCTGATTTCATTGCATCTGTTAATCTATTATTATGCAATTCTAATGATGAGGTTTCTTTTAATTATCCCATATATAATGACTGATTAAAAGAGGTTCCCAAACTTCATCATTAAAGGAAGAGAATATTGGAGTTCAGAGACAATTTTAGTAGCGTATACTTGGCCATACTTAATGTAGTAGTAAGCATAGTAGCAGTAGTTAATATATACAAACCTAAATACAAAGTACTGGTACCTAATAACAATTCTTCGAGTGTGTAGGTGTTCCTATCTGTTATATCCCTCAGTGTATACTGTATAATGTGTAGCCTAGGGTATTTATGAAACCGGCCAAGGATGCTTAGATTCTTACAAAGGAAAGGAATAAGAGAGACGCAGACAGCCGTGTTGAAGAAGTGGTGAGTGGCGCCGGTGGATTGGACGACCTGAAGAAGAGGAGCAGGGAGAGTGGCGTCTGGCGGCGGAGTCGACGACTGACGTGTCGGGGCAGAGGAGCAGGGAGAGCCGGAGAGGCGCGGCCGGTAATGGTGTCGGAGAGGCGGAGCCGGAGCAGGGGGAGAGAGGAGTCGCACTGTCGGATTGGGAGTCGGGACTGGAGATGGAGAAGAGGAGCCGCGGTGCCGGTCTCGCCGTCGCTGGAGAGGAAGAGGAGTCGCACCGTCGCAGCTCGCAGAGAGGAGTCGCACTGTCGCTGTGTCGCAGCTCGCGGAGAGGAAGAGAGGAAGAGAGGAGTCGCGCGCCGATTAGGGTTTGTGAATTTGTGTGATCTGCGATTTCCGATTAGGGTGGGAAGGGAATTAGGGAAGTGGGCTGGGCCTGGGGAGTGGGGGTCTGGGCTGGGGGACGGGTAATTTGGTTTGATAGTTATGTCCGGGTATCCACGGGTCGGGTTGCCCCAAACCCGAACCCGACCCAACCTGTCCAACCAGCCACCGGGTTTAAACCCGAACCCGGCCCGAACCCGGTCAACACGGGTTTTACCCGGTTTGACCGGGTTGGGTCGGGTCGGGTACCCGCGGGTCCGGGTTGAACTGCCATCCCTACGCCCGATTGACACCTATACTCCTTCCTCTTCCTAGTTATCTTCAGACTCGAGAGTAGTAAGAAGAAACACATATTCTACTGCCATCGATGGAAATTCACACCATGAACGAGGGTGTGTATACGATAGTCCGAAACTGGGAGGCTAGTATTGTGATAGAATCGTGAACACCATTCACTTTCCTTAAAATTAGATACAATGCATTAACAAATAACAATAGCTTCCTACTTTTCATTTTCTTTATTTTTTTTAATATACTTGTAACTCTTTTATTTTAGTTTGGATTAAAAAAAATTGAACCGAAGAAACGAGTTTGCTTATACTCTACAAAATACTATTCTATCTTTGATATATTTTGGGAAAAAAAAAATTTATGAACCACCCATTGCCACTCTCAACTGCCCTTTGATATATCTCTGAAGTCAGAAATATACAACTTACTTGTTTATTTGAAGACAAACTATAGATAAAATGCAAACATACCAAACCATCGAAGACTTTCCATTCTTAATAATGTATACTAATTGCTTAACTCTTTCGATTAGTACAAAGTGAGGTATCAATTTCGAGCCGGACATGATCTTTAAACATACCTAATCAAGAAACTTGATCACTAAAAGCCTCTCTTTGATACTTAGAATGTGAAAATGTCGTTTAGTGAAAAGGAATAACCAATTTCCGCAGATTCCTTCATTGGCCATTGCACAATGTTCAAGGCATCTCTACACAATATCATAGAGTTGCAAATTGCAACTACTCAAATAATCTTCTAACTGTGAAGTCAAGTTTGAAACTTTTTAGTAATATCTAACAACAAAAGCAAACTTATATCAGCCTTAAAAAAAAAAACAAAATTTGTACTTATTAGGTGCCCTAGTAGGAATGTCAACGGGGGAGGACAATGCAAGCGCGATGAATCAAGTAATTGTAATACCTGCACAGATATCTAATATATTGATTCGTCCTAATATATTGTTTTCAAAATGAGCCAAAATTAGTCAAACGTGACCTAATAGATAGTCTGATTTTACAGCCGACTACTGAGCAAATATGGGCCATATTGTTGATACACCACCTTCATTTATGCAATCCATGATTAAAAACATTGGTTGTACCACCATATTATGTGAGTTTCCACGATCATACAATTGCTTATGTGATTAAGCTGTCGTGGAGTGGTATTTGCTAAAAATATGTAAAGGATCAAATTCTTTATATGATTCCCTTTTATATGCTCAAGTCGTCTCGTTGTTTCAATACCCAAACATACTGAGTGACAAGAGAAATGATTCGACGACCCTCCACCAAGATTAAATTCAAATCCTCGACATCATCTCACCAATGCTTTACAAAATCACCCTAAATCACTACCGTTGGACTCAGGGGCGGACCTACCTTTGGGGGAGGTGTGTCACCCGACACACCTTCGCCCAAAAATTTTGTGAGTAACCCATATTTTATCGGTATAAAGAATTTGAACATGAGACCTTCGACAACCTTCGGTAATTGTAATCGACACAACTTATTACATTACAAAATTTTGGTTGTCATAATGGTATTAACATATGTAAATATAGGAATTATCGAACTTTAAACTACGTAGTTAATTAGTTTATTATAAAATAGTAAACAATTAATTGACTACTTAGTACATAGTGAGTATTTATAGAGATAGCTATCACGTTACAGATAACCTCGATAAATTGAATGAAAATTGAATTGATTAATAAGCTGGTTGAGTAAGTAATTAGATAGTGAGTTCCATGTCGTTTTCCCGTAGCTTATTCCATATTTTTTTCATAAAGTTAATTTCCAACTTGCTTTATAGTTTAGTTATTGCTTTCAACGTTGACGCTTGTCGCCACCCTTCAATTGTCGGCTTAGTGCTAGCAAAATCATCATTCTCATTCAAACTTCCACGTTGACGCCTGTGACCACCCTTTTAACTTCCCATTCCAGCTCTCCCACCTTAAATGAGTGACCAATTTATGGATAATTATTTAGTTGTTTACATGAAAAAGATTTGATTTGCAACCTAATGGACAAATGTAATTAAGGAATCTTTCATAATACGAAAATTCGTCATGATTCACTGCAAACACAATGAAATTGGTGAACTTTATTAATAAAATATATTATTTTATATTTATGTTTAATTAATTATTTATTTAAATAATTAAAATTATTTTCATGGGGCGACACATCTATCCCAAAATCATGGGTCCGCTATTGGTTGGACTTGCAATCTTAAAGGGGGAAACGCCAACTAAGAGTCTACAGAGTGCTACTAATATACTGATTTTGTTTTGTTCGTACTATTATTCATTAATTTTAAAATTGATATACAAAATTGTACGTCCTATAATGAACCCAATAATTGCCTACCCACTTGCTTTAGGTTTTTGTTCATACTGTACCATCCGACAAAACTCCAACCTGGACATCGATTCGATTCGACTTGAATTAGACAAAAGAACAGAAAGGCAATGCATTGTGTTACCACCAAGCCCCAAACACCACCTTTTTCTTGTACCATTTATGGTTTAATGATAAATAAATCATTGCGTTAATATGTTAAATCATCCTGATATAGTCATCTAGTTGAATTAGACATTTTAAAATAATGATTTCAAACAATATTGCTCGTATTATTAACAACGAAGAGAAACATATACTCATGTTAAACACATTTCACTTATAATAAGCACGAAAGAGCAAGTTTCAAAGAAAATATTGCCGTAAAAAGTGAATTCAAACTTAAATATTTCTCATGTAAGTTTAACACGCACGACCTTACTTGTGTTGTGAAATATGTTATTATTATTATTATTTTTATTATTATTAGGTAAAGACTGGTATACTCCAAGAGTATAATATACTCCACGTGATCTAGCTATTAGATATGTTTTGATGAGCTCCGTCCAATCTCAATGGTCAATTATTATTTTTCATTAGATTGAACTTCATATTTGAGTTTTGAAAATCAGGACATGAGATTTATGATTTATCCATTAGAGGTTAAAGTATAATGTACTCTAGGAGTACACTAGTTTGACTCTATTATTATATTATATATAATCTTCTCATAATATTATTCTATTGGAATCGATTGATTCTCTAGGATTATTACTCTAGAGCATTTTTTAAGTTGTGGTTTTGGAACTTCATTGTCAGATTATTAGATTAATTCAATAAATATCTTTTATTGAATTATACTAACTTCTTGTTGGGTTGGCATCATGCAAACCTAAAAGGTCAAAGATTCTTCTATTTTTTCCTATAAATTCAACCACAGTTAGAACGATCTTCTAATTATGCAAACCAGTGTTCGCCACGTACCTTCAACTAGGGGTGGAAGTTTGGTTTGCGGGTTGTGGTAACCCGCAAACCGCACCAAACCACACACTTTATGGATACTCATACCCACAATTTGTGGATAGTGGGTTGGGTGTGGGTAGCAAGATATTGATTTTTGATGTTAGTGGTTAACCACTACACAACGGTTTACCCACAATGTTCATGTGAGATACTTTTATTATATAAGCATTGTCCCTGTGCTATATGTTTATTTTTTAACAAAAACAAGTCCATAGATATAGTCAGATAAATTAATCGATTCGTTAAAAGAGGGGAATAATCGATAAAGGTTAGTCAGATACTCAAACTCATCTCCATTTCTCCACGAACTCTCGAACAACACAACATGCAACCAACTACCAACAACACAAGACTATAATCGAGAGTGGAGAATAATCAATTCATTAAAAGAGGGCGCCTCCACTTATCGAGCCACTTTTGTGTTTTCTGTTGTTGCCATCGGAGGAGCCGTGACATGCAACGATGTTAGTCTGGTAATATATCACTATGCGTCTCCGTTATTTCAAATCTATTTCTAAATCCATCTCTTCTGAATTTACACTAACCTATTGTATTCAAGATTTATAATTTATTTTACACTTTATTAACTTTCTTTTATGTATGTTTTTGTTTTTGTGTGAGAAGAAATACAACATCACTATTTAATAACAATATTATTATATTTAATATGAAACTTTTGTGGGTATCCACAACCAACCTGCACCAACCCGCAGCTGGTAGTGGTTAACCACTACCCACTACCCACTGCGGGGCGGGTTGTGGGTAGCATAATTCTATATTTGTGGGTGTGGTTACCCGCAAAATGTAGGGCGGGTAACTACACCCACCCCAATTTCCACCCCTACCTCCAACCACTAATCATTAAAACCCGCCGTCGACGACCGTCACGATGGTTGAAGCGATAGATGCGCCACCACCTCCGATGTTGACCACACCACAAGTCCAAGATATCTCCCTTCACGGCGACGACCCACCACCTCGTTACATCGTCAGAGAATTCCCGACCTCTCTCCGCCGTCCTCTCACACAGGGGCGGAGGGAGTGTGTAGGGAGGGGGTGCCCTTGCACACCCTTGAATTGGAGAAAGGGTTAAAAATTAGTATATATAGTACCTTGGTCGCAATGGAACTTGAATATAGAGGGTTATTCCTTGTACATAATTATTTCTATCATTAAACTAAATTTAGAACATACATTTAAATTATTTTCAATTATATAAATGATATTATAGTTTGTACACGAATTAAATAAAATTCATATATGATTAACCCAATCTCTTAAATCTCTAATGTTTTAAATAATTGTTAACTCTAAATTGTGGTGACTCTTAAACACCACTATGCGTCCAATATCTAACTATCCACTCAAACGTGGTTACTAAGTTGTTCACCTTTACCATCTCATTCCAATCGATGTTCCTCGGTTATCCATAATCACCAGAGTGACTTTACCGTAACTGTCCTCGGATGGAATGATAAGGAAAATCATGAATAATTTGGTAGGTTATATTGACAATAATATCTTTGATAGTTTATATGAACATATATTTTAAAATGTATATAGTGGAAAAACGTTGTGCGTCACTACATATGATTAATAATTTATCATATAAGATATATTTATTTTAATTAAAAAAATGGCACTTCCTTGCGTAAATTCCTGGCTACGCCACTGCTCTCACATCCCCGTCACCGACCTCAGCCGACTCCTACCCGGCGAGGAAGACGGCCGGGAAGAGCTCGAGAACCTCAAAACAGCTCTCACCTCCTGGAGTTGCTTCCAGGTTCTTATATAACACATTACATTAATGTTTCCTCTTGTCATCATGATATCCTTTACAATCTCTCCTATCAAACACAAACATAAATCAGTTTATTACAATAATTCAAGTTATTGTAAGAAAGTTAATTTTGAATTTTATATCACTCTCTTACACGCCCTCTCATGGATCTTACACCACTCTCTTATTACACACTCCCTCAAACGAGATTCAATTCATGCGTTTGAAATTTGCACAAGTCATTCATACCTTGTGCTTTAATCAATTGTTAATATTGGGAGTCGTGGAGATTCGAACACACAACCACTTGACCAAACCAACTAAGATAGACTGACACTATAACATAAACTAGTTGGCTATAATAACTCGAATTGTTGAGAGAAGTTAATTAATTAGCAATCTTATACTACTCTCTTACACTTTTAACGTTGCAGCTGATTGGACATGGCATCCCAAGTGAACTCCTGGACGAAGTGCATGCAGCAGCCAAACAGTTCTTCCGGCTCCCGCCGGAAGAAAAACATATGTGCTTCCGACCGGAAGACGACATAGAAGGATACGGCAACGACCCGATCCTCTCCGACAAACAGATCCTCGACTGTAGCGACTCTCTGTTGCTAAAGCTCGTCCCGGAGGACACCAGGAAGCTCCATCTCTGGCCCACCAACCCCACCCAGTTCAGGTACGTCATACAACGGTCACTTTGTAATCTATTCTTGTCATGATATCAGAGCCTACGATGACATAAACATGATCAAAACGTTTCGTTCGATACGTAGGGAAGTGGTGAGCGGATACTCCGACGAGCTGAAGCGGATCGTGGAGGCACTGATGAAGGCGATGGCGAGGTGTGTCGGTCTTGAAGAGGACTGTTTCGTGAAGCAGTATGGAGGCAAAGAGATGATGATGTCACGGTTCAACCACTACCCGGTTTGTCCCTGGCCCGACGTGGTTCTCGGGGTCAAATTAGCTCATTCGCACGGGTTGGGTGTAACGGTTCTACTGCAAGACGATAATGGTGGTATGGAGTGCCCATCATTTCCCACGCACTTGTTGTAAACGTTGGCGACCAAATGCAGGTATATACTTCCGTGAATCACAATCCTCGATTATTGTTTGTTACTAAATTGATATTAAGAGTTATGTTTAGAGAATTAGACTTATGCAGTATACCCATTAGAGACTAAAATGCATACAGTACTATATTTCAAAGTTGGATTGATTTATGGTCTAGATAAACTTCACTTCAATAGGAATATGAGTATCGCATCATGCAGTAGTACGATCGCCTGACCCGTAATTGATTGGTGAAATTGATTGAATGAATCTATAATTTTTTATTTCTCAGTGATGAGTGAAATTATTAGAGTAGGTGGCATTATAAAATCCGTAAAGTCAACTCATGTTTTTTATGGACTTTATGAACAAGATAAGGGTAATATACTAAGTTGACACTAAATTGTGGAGTGAGATTAATGATAGATGATATAGGTATCTACATCATATCGCAAATTCGAGTTAATTTATGATCTAGATCAGGGCTGTCATGTCGGCATCCTATCGATTGGTTCAACCGGTATTGATCAGCAATCCGACATAAATCGATTATTTTATCGATCATATCATTTTATTCACTTGTCAAAAAAGTGTAACGGTATAAATCGATTGAAAACCTTGATTCAGCTAGTTTCTACTGCCTCAATAAAAATGTGGGAGTACTATGTACTCTAGGAGTATGGGAGTATGTAAGTCTGACTCTTGGCATGACTAGATTAATCTATAATTTTATACATTTTTTTAATGAATGAAATTATTAGAGTTGGTGGAATATATAAAATTATTTTTAAAGTCAACTCATGTTTTTTGGATTGTATAAAAGGGAAAAAAGGTACATAATAATTTAAAACTGAATTACAAAAAAAACTAGATAAATGATTGGTCATGGATGACTACTCTATGATATGACCATTATACTAATTAACTAACTTATAATCTGATCCGTTGACCAGAATGTTCATATTTTAATATTAATATTTTTATGTTATGTTTAAGTCTATTAATTTGTTTAAGTTTATTGAAAATTATTCAATCGAGATTCTACATAAAGAATGAATATATAGGTTGAACATTCAGGAAAATACCCTCCTCATTAAGAATATAAATGTGTATCATTAATCCCATTTTCATAATGATAATTGAGCCCCCATTAGAATGATATTGGTTAATAGATTGTCCAGAAATATATAATATAAAAGCTCATTGGAATTCCCACACGATCCATAGATAGTTTGAAACTGAAATGAAACCTCAAAATCCCACATAAATGGTTCAAAGCTCTCCTCTATGAATAACATGCCACTAATAAAAAAGAAATGGATTTATAAAAAAAACAGAAATGAAGAGTTGTTGATTCAAGTAAATCATATGCTAACAACTCAACTAAAAGGAACCATCAAAACTTGAAAGCAAATGACAAAATTAGAGTTACATCCAATATACTAATAGACTCGATCAAAGTAATGAGCCACAAAATTAGACACTCTTTATCTACAGGTTCTAGTAGTTTGAATAGTGAATCGACCTTAGCTTTAGTAAATCAATCAATGATTCCTCGTTTTAACATGAACATAGGTTGTGGTAGTTGCAACAACCATAACACCTAAAGATCCAATAGTTTCCACTCTCCGTTGTACAACCAATTTTTTTATCTCCTCCATCTTCAATCTCTCGACGTATATGTTTTAAACCAAAATTCAATTTCTAATCCTCCTTCTGCAACTCCATTTATGCTACTTTGATGGACCTCTCCATGAACCTGAATTTCTCTTTCAATTGAGTTTCTTATCAGCTTGATCTCCAACTCCTCAATCCTCTTTCTTGTATTTGGCCAACTCATCTTCCTCGGGGCAGTTTTAATAAGCTCGTAAAACCAACACTCATCTTCAATTCCATCACTATGCTCTTCTCCTCCTTCTCTGCCTTCACCCGATCTAGTTCATTTCCATGCCCTTCAATACCCTCTCCATTTTCATTAATATCCTGATAATCTACCACTTCTCTCTCTTCAACTGCTCCGATTTTGCTTCTATGTCTTTCAATACCCTCCTCGGTTCAATCACTACCCTGACCAACTGCCTCTTCACTGCCTTCACTTGCTGCAAACTACTTCTATGACTTTTAATACACATTCCTCAAAATCACAATCAACTAACCAATATCAATCCGTGGCCTTGGATCAGTTTTAAACTCTCTATGAATATCTCAATACCACAAAGTCTAAATCTATATATTCTTTCAGTTAATCATGAACTTGAGTTTATCAAAATCTAATCCACTCATTCTAAGTTGGAATTCCCATCCCCCAAGCTAATTTTTGGTTCATTTGATCCTACATAACCATGATATATACCTCTAACTAAAATAAATCAAAACATTATATGAAAAGAAACCGAACCATGAGCTTTACCTGCTACCAAATCCAAACACAATTTCTTCCTCTCACCACTTCCCTTAATCCCTTCCCAAACCCAATTTCTTCCTCTCACCACTTCCCTTAATCCCTTCCCAAACCCAATATTAACTTTTACTCCAAGTACACACCCCCAACTCCAAGTGTGTTGCGTGGAAGCTTAATTTTAGCAATCATTATGCTTGCAATTAGATTAATGGACACTTGCAAGCGCCAAAATTCCACCAGACGATGAGTTGTCTTCACTTTGAGTTTTGTCATAAAACTGCTGGCCCGATATGTTTATTAGTTTGGAGGCCATGTGATGAGCAATACCGAATCGTTGCAGTGAAGTTACCGGTCACAGTAATGACAATGTGAAACATGTGTTAACAAACGCGAATATGCGTTACTTTTATGGGTTGACATTAGAATGATGGGATTGGACAATGAGATCGTCCTTAGTTAAGCGACATGTAAATTGGTTCATTTAGTATGGAGGACACAAACCGTTAAAATTCTAAATTCTTTGGGTGAGTTTGTATTTAGTGTTTTCAAAATCGTGGTATATGAGTTAGGTGATTAAAATATCTAAACCCAAACGAACCGACCCACGTACACCCTAGGAAGAATTTCAAAACTTAGTATTTAACCGGACAAAAATGTTCAGAGAACCAGTCCCCTATAGTTTGCACAAAGATATGATTGCTTCACTATAGTTCTAGAAATTAATGGTAATTTAAGAATTCTATATCGCTTATACATATTCAATACTATAATTCGATATGAAATATTCGAACCTACAATATTTTGGTTGCAAATTTATGGTTATCATCTATTTATAAGATAGATAAAATTTTAAATTAAGTATTAAATTATAATTAAAATAAAAAATATCAAAATCGAAGTATCAAAACACCAAATAAGTACTTACGAAATATTTATTGGGCTAGCTAACTGTTGAAAAGTTCGGTGATTTCATATTTTAGCTTCGTATATATTTTTAATTTAGAAAAATACAACAAATCTACATAGTCTGATTGATTTTAAACCTTCATTTTGGTTGAAGTGACCATGGTTCAAATATCAATATGTCTATCTTTTTCTGTAAATAAATAAAAATACAGATAATTGTGAAGACAAAATGTCCTTCCTAATTTCCCTCTCATTGCAGGAAATTTGAAAAGGGAGATTAAGTTTCAAATAATTAAATCATATACCATAAACCTATAAAACTTAAACCCTAATATCACATATACTAAGAACATAATCAATAATTCTGATTCGCCAAGATGTATGCAACATACCATATGCACTATATTAGGATTTAGAGAAATATGATATAGGGTTTAGTTACGTGGTTAATCTATGGTCTAGATAATGTTATTTAACTAAGGAGATGCAATAACCCTCAATCCATCGAGCGTACCATAGAATTTCCAATGTATATACACATACCATTGTTTGTTAAATTTAGCCAATGATGATTGGCTCATTTGTCAATGGTATTTAGTCTTTCAATTCTATGCTTATAATTGTCAACCATTAGGGAAATTGTTAGCCAATGATTTTTGGTCATTCACTTACAGCATTGAAAATGTCTCGTTACAAAACCATAGATCACAAATGTCAAATTTTATGTTTTGAAATAAAATTTTGTATGCACTTTTGTAAACAATCCTTGTATTCCTACAAACTACAATGTCATGTAACCTAATAAATGTAAAAGTTGTAAGACATACATAAACTCAAAATGTACTATTTGATTCTTGGTGAAGAATAGTGTGATTAGAGGAACTCACTTAGTTGATTCATAAAGCTAGGTATATCATGATGATTCACTTTGTAAATAATTATAGTTATTAATTAATTCGATGATTGATTGTTGCTATTGAGCTATGATTCTATAAAATTTGTGAGCTAATTTTCAATCGTCACGTAGTTATAAATGACTATTTTCTTTTGAACATCTAAGCACGCTTAGGCACGATGTCTAAATAAGTTAGGCGTTGAGAGAGATACCAACGTCAGTCTTTACACCTAGCACCTTCATGAACATTGGATAAAATAAAGTAACACCTACGCAATTATTTAACATGTTGCGAGGTGCTTAACGTATTGTTTACGGAATAAGCCGTGAGATGAGTCGAAAGTTACCGGATGGAGATCTAATTCTTACAACTGGCTACTTATAAGCATATACACGAGTTATAAAATGTTAATTTTGACACACATCCCCTTAATTTGCACAATCCAGGATTAAAACATTGATTGTATCATATGATGTTATTGGAGTACTTTTCTCGTGATTGGAGCATTGCTTGTAATGAATTACGAGAAATTTTACAATGCTATATAGTATTGGTGCTATAGGTTTTTGCCTTTATGGTACAACTTAAAATTGTACATTTATGTTATGGTACAACTTCAGATTGTACCTATACTTTTTGTACAAATTATTTTATGGTACAACTTGAACTTGTACCTTTATGTGATGGTACAACTTCAAGTTGTAAAGTTGTACCATAACATAATGATACAAATTATGGTACAACCTAAACTTATACATTTAATGTTATGGTACAACTTTAAGTTGTACATTAAAGCACCAATGCTATATAGCATAGTAGAAGTGCTCAATGAATTACATGTTGTGGCGTTTGTAGGTTTTTTTAACAAAGTGTCAGGTATCAAAAGAAAAATTATACTGCTTTTGTTCGTACTATTTTTTCACTAACATTAGAATTTAATATACAAAATTGGACGTCATATAATGAACCCAATAATTGCCTTTCCATTTGTTCAAATATTGTACCATCCGACAAAACTCCACCGGACTTTGATTCGATTCGACTTTGAGTTACACAAAAGGACGGCCTTATTCTTCATAATTTATGATTTTTCTTTGTGTTTCTTTTGGTGTGCCTGGACCTCATCTTCTTGGTTCCCCGAAGGTTTATCATAAGTTCAACCGAAGGAAGATGTTTTGGGAGCTGTTTTCTCTGTTCTTTCATTTGTTTCCTTTCATCCTTCTTTTCTTCCATTTGCAATTCCTTACATTAATCTATTTCACCATTGTAAAAAAAATTATGGTTTAATGATAAGTTACTAAATTAATATGATATAGCCTGCTTGATATAGTCATTTAGTTGAATTAGACACTTAAAAATAATTATTTCAAACAAAATCGCTTACGTGGATTAACAACGAGAGAAGCATATACTCATGTTAAACACATTTCATTTATAATAAGCACGAAAGAGCAATTTTTCCTTGATGAAAAAAATTGATTTGAAAATTAAATATTTCTCATATAAGTTCAACAGATTAATTATATGCGACCTTACTCGCGTTGTTATAAAAGGATAATATATATATATACTATTGGCATGGATTGATTCTCCACGATTACTACTCTAGAGCATATTTTTTAAGTTGTGGTCATGGAACTTTATGGTCCAATTATTTGATTAATTAATAATTAACAAAGAAAACATCTATATATATATGTTCCAGCTAATTAATTAATATATATACCAAATCAAAGGTTGGCATCATGCAAACCCTCAAAGGCCAAAGATGCTTCTTTTTTTCCCTATAAATCCAGCCTCAGAACGACGTTCTAATTATGCACTAGTATACGCCACCTACCTACATCCACTAATCATTGAAACCCGCCGGCGGCGACCGTCACGATGGTTGAAGCAATAGATGCGCCACCACCTCCGACGCCGACCACACCACAAGTCCAGGATATCTCCCTTCACGGCGACGACCCACCGCCTCGTTACATTGTCAGAGAATTCCCCGACCTCTCTCCACCGTCAACCCACATCCCCGTCATCGACCTCAGCCGACTCCTCTCCGGCAAGGAGGACGGCCGGGAAGAGCTCGGGGAGCTCAAAGCAGCTCTCACCTCCTGGGGTTGCTTTCAGGTACACTTATCAACACATTAACAAAAAATTTCTTGTCATCATAATATCTATTACGATCCTCTCATCAATGAGCTGCCGTAAGATAATGCTTAATATTGGGTATCGCGTATGAACTTGAACACATGACCTCAAGAACAAATCAGTTATGATATCGTTTAATAAATCAACATGTCCTAATAACTAGAGTTGTGTGGAGATCCACTCTCAATAATTCGGGTTATTCAGACCAATTGGTTATTAACATGATATCAGAGCCTACTGTGACCGAGAGGTCTTCTGTTTGAATTCCAATGACCCCCATATGTTCTGTTAACCACATGATTTTCGGACCTATACAAACTTCAAGCTCATATGAGTAGTCTTTCGTTTGAGGGGTGGTGTTAATTAATCAATGATTATGATACATATTTGAACCTTTTCCAACAACTCGAGTTATCGGGATTAAGTTGTTCTTGACAATCCGTGTATATATATGATACTTAACCGCTTACTTACATTGAAGCTGATTGGACACGGGATCCCAAGTGAACTCCTAGACGAAGTGCAAGCAGCATGCAAGCAGTTCTTCCGGCTCCCGCCGGAAGAAAAACAGACGTGCTTCCGGCCTGAAGACGACATAGAAGGATATGGCAACGACCCAATTCTCTCCGACCAGCAGGTCCTTGACTGGAGCGACCGTCTGTTGCTAAAGCTCGTCCCCGAGGACACCAGGAAGCTTCATCTCTGGCCCACCAACCCCACCCAGTTCAGGTAGTAAATCAATTCGTACATGATATCAGAACTTTCGGTGACCAATACGATCGAAAATGTTTTGATCGATATGATCAGGAAAGTGGTGAGCGGATACTCTGACGAGCTGAAGCGGATCGTGGAGGCACTGATGAAGGCGATGGCGAGGTGTGTCGGTCTCGAAGAGGACTGCTTCCTGAAGCAGTATGAAGGCAAAGAGATGATGATGTCAAGGTTCAACCACTACCCGGTCTGCCCCCGACCCGATGTGGTTCTCGGGGTCAAAGCTCATTCGGACGGGTCAGGCATAACGGTTCTGATGCAGGACGATGAGGTGGAGGGCCTCCAAATCTTGAAGGACGGTCGGTGGTATCGAGTGCCCATCATTCCCCACGCACTTGTTGTTAACGTCGGCGATCAAATGCAGGTACGTACTTCAATGAATCATAATCGTCGATTATTACATGTTTGCGATTAGATTGATATTAGGGAGATTGAGTTTGAAGAATTAGACTTGTGGAGCATACCCATTAAGCTACGTAAAGTACCATATTACAAATTTGGGTTAATTTATGTTCTAGATAACTCTACATCAATAGGAATATATGGATACCGCATCCTATAGTAACATGCTCGTCGTCTGAACTATAAATAATTGGTGAAATGATTAAATTCTATCTATAATATTTTTATTTATTAATGATGAGCGAAATCATTAGAGTAGGTGGAATTTTAAAATTACTAATGTCAACTCATGTTTTTTTTTAGGATTTTAGGAAAGAGATAAAAGGGTATTATACTAAATCGATACTTAAATGTAAAATGAGATTGATTGCACACTAACTTACATTCCGGAATACTCCTATGATCGATCTGTCACCCAATCTCTTTGAATCCAAAGGCTTGATCCCATATAATTTAGAATTGGAGATTATAGGAATTTTCTCTATAGTAATATCATATCACAAACTTGAGGTAATTCATGATCCAGATAGTCTACGATGGAAATACAATAGTACTAATATTATACCCCACGAGTATGTTTGATTGAACCGTGAGTGATTGGTAAAATGCTTAAATTAATCTATAATCTTTTATTTTCTTAATGAATGAAATCATTAGAGTAGGTGGAATCTATAAAACTACTACTAAAGTCAACTCATGTTTTTTTTTTCCTTCTAATTCTAGGAAAGAAATAGGTACATGATAATTTAAAACTGAATTATAAAAAAAACTAGATTAATGATTGGTCATGGGTGACTACTCTATGATACGACAATTATACTAATTAATTAATTTATGATTAATTGACTTTGATGGAGCAGATAATGAGCAATGGGAGATTCAAGAGCCCAATGCACCGGGCCTCAGTGAGTGCAACAAGGGAGAGATACTCACTTGCAGTGTTTCACTTACCGGATCCAGAAGTTGAGATTGGGCCGGCCCAAGGTCTGGTGACCAAGGAACTACCCCAACAATACAGGAACCTCAAGAACTACTCTGCCATCAACTTTGATTGCTTCCAAAAGGGTGAAATTGCTCTCGACTCTGTCAAAATGTGAAAGCTATAGCTAGGGGACAGGCTACGGTGACAATCTTTTTAACGGTTATTACTGTAATCTATTCCGCGTTAATTAGTCCATTCATTTCTGTCTGAGATTTGAACTACGATGTTTAAATACTACATATTTACATTTTATGAAGTTTGGAAAGAAAGTGATCAAACTTATCATATCTCAAATGATGGAGAGAGGACTTTCAAGGATACGGGAGTGACACAGTAGTCACAGATGTACTGGTACATGATTGGTCCCACAGATTGCGCCTTATAACATGCCCTGAAGAAATGGGACAGATGAAATATTGGCCTGAAAGTCCAAAAAATTCAAGTAAACTCTCAGATCACAACTCATTTAGCTTAAAAGTTAAGAAAGAATGATAAGGTCACATCAATTACCAACTTGCTGCAGGGAAGTTCTCCATGAATACTGCAGCAAGTTACACGCGCTTCATGATGCCATGCTGAAGGCCATGGCAAGGTCATTGAACCTGGAAGAGAGTGTCTTTCTGCGGATGATTGGAGAACCGGTGATCATGTCTGCAAGATACTCCTATCCTCCATGTCCTCGGCCTTATCATGTCGTTGGGCTCGAGCCGCATTCTGATGGAACAGTGATCAATTTTCCCCTGCAAGACAAAGAAGTGGGAGCGCTTTAAGTTCTGAAAGATGGTCAATGGTTTAGAGTTCCAGTCTCCTCGGATGCTCTGGTCCTCAATGCTGGCGAACACCTAGAGGTAAATAAGCTAAAAGTCTCTTGGGGTGGCAATGCCATGATGGGGAACTGAGATTTAAGCATCTAACACAACATGATATGAATGAAATATGTAAACAGATAATGAGCAATGAAGAGTTTAAGAGCCCGATTCACGGAGCAGTTGTGAACTCTGAGAGGAAGAGGATATCCCTGGCTGCACCTTCTATTCCTCACGATGGTAATGAAATCGAACCGGTTGAAGGTTTGGTCAGTGAAGAAAGGCCAAGGCTATTCAGGAAGGTAAAGTACAGCGGAAGTATTCACCTTCACCACTATCCGAGTGGAACGAGAATGATTGATGACGCAAGAATTTAAGTTTCATGAACAAACTACGCCTCCTTGGTGTTGTAGACTAAATCTGCAAACAAATGAACAATGTAGAAGCAATTATCTTCAAGAAATTTGTAAGCTTTACTAAAGACAGAGTCCAGGAGGTCTATTTGCAGCTCATTTTAACTGTCCATCTAATTGATCTAACACGGACATTATGTCATCCGAGGAATGGTGACACTTGTCCGATGCTGCAAACTGATGAACTCTCTTCTCCACCTCAAGCCAACTGGACCCAGGAGAACACTTTTCAACTCCAAGTTCCTTCATCTTCCACCTAATGTTTGCTGCATCACTCCACCGGTTAACCTGAGTGTGCAAGCTAACCAAAAGAGCATAATGACCACTATTGCCCGGTTCTAACACCTTTAACTCCTCAACAGCAATCTGTGCAATCTCAAAGTTCCTGTGAAGCTTGCATCCGCCAAGCAATGCTCCCCAAATAACAGCATTTGGTTCCAACTTCATGGTTCTGATAAGCCTGAGTGCTTCTTCAAGCAATCCGGCTTTGCTCAAAAGATCAACCATACAACCATAATGCTCCAGTTGTAGAGGGCAAGAATAATCACGAGTCATGCTTTCAAACCACTTTCGGCCTTCTTCAACGAGCCCTGAGTGAGCACAAGCACTTAGGATGCTGATGAAAGTCACCCCATTGGGTTTGATTTTCTCCGTCTTCATCTTGGAAAACAGTGCTAGAGCTTCTTCTGCATATCCATGGACTGCGAGCCCCTCGATGATGGAGTTCCAGCAAAAGAGGTTTTTGTGTCTCAATTTGTAGAACACCAACAGGGACCTCTCTAAGGACCCACATTTTGCGTACATATCGATCAGAGAAGATCCAACATAGACATCAAGGTCGAAGCCATTTTGCATCACATAGTGATGGATTTCCTTGCCTAAGTCGAGGGCTCCGAGATGGGCACAGGCTGAAATCACACTTGCCAAGGTCACTTCATCAGGGATAACCTCATTCTTGGTCATCTCATTGAAGACTCCTAGGACTTCTCTGAACTTCTGGTTCTGGGAATAGCAGTTGACCATCGTAGTCCATGAAATAACATCTTTAGCAGGCATTTGATTGAATAGCAATTCAGCTGACTCTACATCCCCCAATCTTGCATACCCGTCCAACAATGTGTTCCAAGAAGCAATATTCCTTCCAGGCATCAAGTCAAACAACCTCCTTGCGGAATTCAAATCCCCTGCACGAGCAAGACAAGAAACCATCGTGGTCCAAGCGAAGACATCAAACACCTTGATGGACTCACCGATTCTCTTAAAATCAAAGTAAAACTCTATCAACGTCGTGCAGACAAACACGCTCGAAGCAAGCCCATGTCTCCAAATCTGCCCGTGAACTGATTCCCCAACTCTCCCACCGTCGCCGCCTACAAAGCTGCAGGCTTTAACCAGAGACGAAAAAGTATAACTCGTTGGCGACAACTGAGCTCTCAGCACCTGAACATAGCACTCAACAGCATCAATGGGTCGACGATTCTCGACAAATCCTTTAAGCATCGCATTGAAAACAAAAACATTCGGATTCTCCATCTGGGCAGCCGCGGAGACGGCCTGGTCCGCCGCGCCAACGGAAGAACAAGCCGTGATGAATTGGTTCATTAGAAAGCAATCTTGGGTTGCTGCTACTTTGATCATATTGCCTAGTCCCGACTCCAAATCTCTGATCTTGGAGCATTGCTTCAAGTGGTTAACTATCAAATTGGTTCGAGGGAGCATAATAATATTAGGCGGGAAACTGGGAAGCAATGAGAAGCCATACACATCAAACGTGATGCACAGTTGTCTTCATAACTTAAGCATAAACCAAGCGGCAGAATAATACAGAGTTGGGTCCTTCCTAGAACATTTCAGATTTTCTAACTTTTCCTTCCTAAGTCTTCTTCTTTGGCGAGTGACTCGTCTTATTTTGATTGTTCCTGTCATGTTGTCATGCCAATCGGCTTGCCGGGCGGTGGAACCTGGTTAAACTAATGTCAGTCATATGAAATCGACATAAAAAACACAATTGATATGACCAGGATGATTGATTTAGGAACTCTAAATAAAATAAAGTTATTTTAGTAGATTTGATTGATAAGAAATGAATTTATTATATTTTTATGAATATAAAAGTTAAAATTGATGTAATTTGTTGAATTCGGATATAAACGTTTAGAAATTGACGTTAAATTTTATATTTAAATATGAGTATTTGTTATTTTATTTGGAATGTTGTATTTTATTAAACTGACATGAACCCAAACAAACCAATTGTACCACTAATGGTACAATTCCACTTGCTAAACCAACGTAACAGGTATAAACCAATTTTACAAACTTGGACCCCGTTGTTGGGACGAGTATGTACCTAAGATAGCCCGAAATAAGGTAGCCAACATTATGATAGAGCTGAATCCAACAATCTCGAGACATATAATTTCGGTTGTAATTACATTTTCAGTAGTCGATGCAAAATCAAGTGATATTTTTGCTAAAAATCAAAGTTGAAAGACCACATTGTTAGTCACCTCAAAGTCAAGTGTGCACTTCTGATATTTACCCACTGTTTCTCCGACAAAACAATCTTGATTCTGGTGTGGAGTACTGACCTTTCTCAGTCTCCGTTGAAAATAATGTTGCTGGTGGTGGTTCTAATGACGATGCTCCTCCGTCCGGCGACCGCCACACCCAATGAATTCGAGCGGGCAACCAATCCTCCTGGCGGCGGCGTTCCCCCTGCTCTTCGTCGTTCATCTTCTCCCCCACCTTTCCCCGTCCAACGCCCCCGGTGGCGCCACCACGTTTTCCTCAACTTCCGGGGGCCGGACGTCCGCCGCGCCTTCGCCGATCACCTCTACCACGCCCTCCTCCGCAAGGGAATCAACGCCTTCCGCGACGATCGCGACCTCCCCCGCGGCGAAAACATCACGGAGGCGATCCCGCGGGCCATCGAGGAGTCAAGGTTCTCCATCCTCGTCCTGTCGAGAGGTTACGCCTCGTCGGCGTGGTGTTTGGACGAGCTGGTCAAAATCCTGACCTGCGCCAAGGAGATGGGTCACCAGCCGCTCCCGATCTTCTACAATTTGTCTCCCGACCAGATCTCCGCTCCGTCCTCCCCCTCCGGCTATTACAAGCACGATTTCGATCGACACAAGAAGGAATACAGCTACGAGAGGGTCCACAGCTGGCTCCACGCTCTCGCCTCCATTGTCGACATCTCCGGCTGGATCCTCACGGAAAGCACGTATACACCTCGCCTCGCATCACCTCACCTCTTTTGGTCATTTTCACAAACACCTTATCTGCATTAACCAACTAAGCTACCTCTTTTAGACATTTTCACAAACAGCTTAGCTGCATTAACAATGTGCCGAGACTAACCTTGTTTCATCAAAATTTTAGATACGAAGCCGAATTGGTAGAGGATATCGCCTCGAGCATGCTGCGGAAGGTCCAGGAGCTCCATTGGTCCTCCTCCTCCTCCATCACAAGCGTCTTCGGGCAGTCAATTAGGCAATCTCTCCATATCCACAACGGAGAAATGAATGCCACTCCGGACAGAGTGAATCATGACTCCCCAGCAGCCGAATACGAACACCTCCAATTCTTCAAACCGAAGATCTCACCGCAGGGTGAGAAGACGGTGAGAATCCCCAAAACCGTCGCACAAGAAGGGATCAAGAAGTACTCGCAACTGGCTCTGCTTGGGCAGCGGTTATCCTCCTTGGACAGCGGAAGTGTAGTTGGTCATCTGAACATCAGCATCCTCATGAAGGAAGCAAACCGGCTGTGGAACAACGGCCAGTCATCGAAGATCATAGGGGTCCAAGAAGTAGGCGGCGCAGGGGTGTACATCTTCACGTTTCCCGACCGGGAAACTCGAGACACGGTGGTGGAATCTTCGCCCTGCTGCATTGCCAAATGCTCCTTCGCGATGAGGAAATGGGAGCCGAGTATGCAGCTGCTGCTGCACCATACGGTGCCCGTGTGGGTGCGTCTGGTAGGGGTTCCAGTGGAGTATATGACCCCCAGAGGGCTGAGCTATGTAGCCAGTTCTCTCGGGAAGCCGCTGTACGTGGACAGAGCTACCGCAAGTGGAACTCATCAGCTCGCATTTGCCAAAGTCTGCGTGGAGATGATGATGCGACCTGGTGATGGTTATCACCGAGATCAGGGGTTTACTACCTCCTCCATTTCGGTTGCTATTGGAGACGACGGTGGTGATGGTGAAGCGGTGGTCGTGGCCGTGAGAGTGTTGTACCAATGGAGTATGCCTTGCAGCAACAGCATGACTACTACTACTACGACTGCTGCTACTCAACAAATCGCTCCTGCTCCTAGCCAGATGCAGAAAGCTCAACAAATCGCTCCTGCTGCTCTTAGCCGGCTGCAGAAGGCTCAAAAATTCGTTCTTCCGAGTTCTTTCCGTGAAATTCTCATGTCGGTGGTAATTGGACCCAGGGCGCAGCCGGCGGCACAGAGCTGATACATTATGGAGTACATCGTCAAACCTGCTGGGAATGATACGGTGGGGAATTACTCCGAGGATAGAAACCAAATTATACATGGTGCAGCTAGCGCTAACGCTAACGCAACTCCGTTAACATCCTCTTTGAAGCAAATGTATTACATAATTATTTTTGTAAATTCATTTTGAAAAGATATTTTTTTTTGGGTACTATCTCAATCAGAGTATGAAAACAATGGAAATGAAATAGAAGCCCCCGGTGGCGCGTTGTCAACCTTGCTTGTACACCAATGAATGGGGGGAAAAATAGTTTATTCTCAGTTAGTAGTGGAGATTGAGAGGAGAAACAAGTCTAAGAACTTCAACTGAAAGGAGCTACACACTACTTAACAGCACATCCATTGAACTTAAACCTACCGAAATAGCACGCTGTATCTCTCTCAGTAGTCCAACAAGTTGCAACGAGAGCAGAACTTATAGAAGCCAAACAACAGCACATCCATTAAACTTAACA